TCAAAATAAGAATGATGGAGGATTGGGAATCAAAGACTTTCAAAAACAAAATGAGGCTTTTATTATATGAAGCCATGCTAGTACTTGGTTAGTAACATAGAAGCCATGTGGGTTAAAGTCCCAAGAGCTAAATATGGTGATCAAGAAATAGCATTCTTCATTGACTTGGAAATGCAATGCCGTAACTAGAAACTTGCCAAACTTAACACAATCAAGAAATGCCAACACCAGTACCATGGTAATTTAAAAAAATGAGTTATAAAAATTATTTCTAGGTTTTCTTTTTCACTGTCATATAACCATGATATAAAAAATTAAAATAATTAGTCAACAATATAATATATCATGGTTATAAAAAGTCCTACTCACCTCTTGCGCATAACCTTGTTAAATAGAGGATCACACCCCTAACATGGTTATAAAAAGTCTCCCATGTACCTGATTGACACAATCTGTAACAAATAATATAGCTAAACTAGATTCAATTTATTTCCAAACAATCCTCAGTAATTTTCAATCATGGATTTATGACCCTCAAGGCTCGCAACAAGAAATTTATGATTCAATATATTATATATATAGTTTCAACATGGAGAATCTAAAAAATGCATAAATATGTCCTAGGCGGCAAATAACCTGCAAATAAACATAAACAGAGTTTGGAGCATGGTCATTGATGAATGTGACCTCATGCCTCTTGTTCCTTTCCCGCTCGGCTCCTCCGTTGCTGCTACCTAAAAACAATAAAAATAACAAAGTGAGACTACTATCTCAATAACATAAACTCCTAGCCATCTCACCTACTAGCACGTACCCTTAAGAAGCACCAGATGAGACTAACAGTTAAAATAATTATTAAACATATCACTATCACATAACAAGTAACAAGTATCACAAACATACAAGCTAAAGGAAATATCAACATATATACATGCTTTACTCATCATTCATTATCCATTATTAATCATTCCATTCCTACCTTATATCTTCCTTATACCTGCCAACTTGAACCCTTGGACTAACTCCAGTGACTCTCACAAGCTTCTCACATGTGTGATGTGGACCGGCCAAAGTCAAAGAGCACACGTGGGCCATGTGTTCCTCTAGAAAAAGGATGTGTTACCCCAAAGGCTTTACTACCTAGTATCCTAGAAGGTAGGTTGCCCTTGAGGTATATTACCCTGTGATACTCCTGGAGTATCGCAAATAAGGGTGTACTGCTCTCTCTAAGAGGCCAACCATAGTGCACGCTATAAAGGCAAACCATATGATAATATATGTATATTAATCTCTATCATAACACCTCCCCTGAGTGTTAAATCACTTAATCATAGCCATAATGTTTCTCAATTCTCGTCATGTATTGCAAGAACATTTATTAAATGCAATTCAAAACATACATTACTCATATAAGATAATTAACATCATACCATGCAATAGTATTCTTAGGTAATCAGGGCATAAACATATCATTTTAGTTGTTAACATGATATCACATCATATTTATCTCAAATATAGGCATCACATGAATACAAACAAAGTGAGAGCAAACAAGCTAATAAACCTAAGCTCCTCACTACAGTGAACTAGGTCCTTTGCTATGATGAGATGATTTGTTCGTCACGGTGAACATCACAGTTCGCCATCAAAATCCAAAAAGAGTATAGAAATTACTAATTTAGGCATCTATCCAATCTCTGAGTTCCAAAAATTCCATACTTTCACAATATTCTGTTATGCTAGTTTAGTCATTAGTCACAAACAGTTCTTTGTCCCATTTTTATACATAGTTGTTCTATTTCTAAAACCTAAAATTGATTCTAAAGGTGATTATTTAATTAAAATTCTTCCCAAAGAAGCAAGCAAAAGAATTAGTAAAAATTTATGTCACCTAGTGTCCAGCAAGCACTTATAGGTCACAAATGAAGACCCTTAACTTGGGGTCATCAAACCAAATTCCAAATCTATAAAAAAAAAAAAAAAAAAGATATACGTTACTATAGTATCTTATGGATAAGTTACGTACTAAATTTTAACCCATAACTCCCTCTTTAAGATTTTTAAATTGTTACTTAGAATTCTAACTCACATAATATTTTTAAGGTTTGGAGTAAGAAAAGAGATACCATGGTTTAGATTCAATTCATAAGTTTGTTTAGCTTAAATTATCTTTAAATTACTAGATTTTATCATTAGAATCATTAATTATTATTTATTTATAACTTAGGTAGAAAACTTCTGATTCCCCAATTAGACCTTAAGGATTTCAAGAGAAAAGCATATTAGAGGGAGTAGAGAGGGATGATTAGATGCTAATTTTACTTACCAGGAGGTTTAGAGTTCTTAAAACTTCATTCTAGGGCCTTAGGATCGAACCCTAGCACAGCACAACCAAGCCACACATTAACTCCACCTTTCTAATGTATTTTTTAGGTTGAAAATCACTTTTTATATCAATTTTTGGGCCCTTCACAGCTGCCCAAATACAGTTCGTTATGGCAAAAAACATAGCAAGTAGCCCAATATCAAAAATTTGTAATTAATTTCACAGGTATCCAAAAATTAAAAAGTAAAACTTAATGGAAAGCTTGAGAAGTCTACTTTCCAATGCAAAAAAGATGCACTAAAACATATGATCATTTGACCCTTGAAAAATTCACACTCCCATAACTGTTTAAGGAAACTACAAGTATGACAATAAGAAAAGACTTCTAAATATCTATGCATTACCTTTACTTAGTAAGTTTTCTTTTTCAACTTCCACCCTAGCATCTTCAATCATTATATTTAGTGTTTTTAAGCCACATTCAAACAAAATTATAGTATCAAAGACAGCTCATGATCACTCAATATGCAGCCACATATATTAAGTCCTGATATTCAAAGTTTAGGATGTTATACGAGAGGTATCTCAAAAGTGTAGTAGAAATTGTGTGATAGGTTGAGAAAGAAGATTGGAAATGGTAGAAGTACATCCTATTGGTTAGAGAATTGGTCAAAAACTAATAGACCTCTTATTGATCTTATCCACGAATATGAGGAGATGATAGATAGAGATAAATGTGTGAACAATTATATATGTTAACATCTGGGGGGAAAAGATCGAAATAACTATCATTGTGGTTCCATCCTCACTTGTTGAGAGAGATATACACCCACCGCATGAGAAGAAAGGAGATTATAAGTACTTCTAGAAACCGGCCATTGATGGACAATTTTCAATTAAACCTGCTTATCATTTTCCTTTTGTAGGAAGGAATACTGTTGAAGATATTGTGGAAGTAGCAAGTACTCGAAAAAATCAAAGCATTCATTTGACTTTTGCTCATGACAAAGCTCACACGACACAACTCAGAGTGAAGAGAGGGCTTGCAGCTTCATCTTCTTGCCTCTTTGGATGTAGTCTATATCTAGAAGAGGACTACATGCATCTATTTTGAGATTGTGTAAATGGCAAGATTTAATAGAATTTAGTAATAGAACCAACCTTGAGGAATAGTTTCTTCTTGCTAGAAGATAAGAAGTGGATGAAATGGAATCTTAAACATGAAGAAGGGAGGATGCATATAAAGAAAGCTCAATGGTCTCTTCTCTTTAGTTAGATCTGTTAGGACATTTAGGCCTCTAGATTTAAATAAACTTTTTGGCACAGCTAGTTCTTTAGAAAAAATAGATGCCAATTCAAGTTTGTTCAGAGCGGTTGCCGATCGAGACCTTATTAGAAGGAGCTCTTTTCTAAACGCTGCTTCTTCCGAGGATAGGAATGTGTATAACATACCTAAAACTTCCACCAAGGTTGAAGTAGACAGATCAATGCTTAATAATAGATGAAGTGGTTGTAGAGGCATCGGTAAACATAGTAACAATCAATGGATAGGGGACTTTTGCTCCTAAATCATATGGATTCCCCCTATAATTGCAAAAGTCACAAGGGTCATCCATGGTCTCCACTTATGTTGGGCAAGGGATTATAAGCATATTTATTTATTTTCTAATTGTATTGATGGTATTAACCTGATGACTAGGGGATGTGACATCAGACGCTTTTTTAGAGATGTTGTAGGGAAAGGTAGATATCTTCTTTGCAAGAATTGGCAGGTTGTGGTTAGTTATACTCCTAGGGAGGATAACTGGATGGCTAACCAGCTTGCTAAATGCTCTCATGATCTCAAAGGAAATTACCATGTCTTTGAACAACCATCATCTATCTCCCTTGATAGTAGATGGATGATGATGAAGAAAAAAGCTAGACCCTATCTCTTGTATTTTGCTTTGTTAGCTCTTTCAAAGTAATAGTATTCAGTTTCTACTGGAAAAAAAAAATGACATTTGCTAATTTGGGTTACTAGAAATGGGTCTATGTCTGCTACAATTATTGATCATTATTGTTGAAATTTTGGGATACAGGTAACTTTCAACGGAAACTATGCTGAAATTTTTTTAAGAATCAGTATGGAAACATCTTAAGTGTCTAATGAAGTCCATTAATTACTAAGCTTGAGAATTTAGCTTGGCTATGCTTAACTTCGATATTTGCTGATTTGGGTAATTAGATACTTGTTTAAATGTCGCTTCTATTGGTTTCATCCGTGAAATGTTAGGATGTCTTACTTTTTTTCAAGTAAAAATTCTAGGGAAAAGATTTTAGAATTAGTAAAGCAACACCTTAAATTTTGAGAATTGGTAATGGGTCTATAAGACAACAGAGAATCTGAGAGCTTCAACAAGCAAGAAATAACAAGAAAACAAAGGGAAAAATGACCAAAAAAAAAACCTGTTGAGTTTCAAAATGATAAATAGATGATTTTATTACGTCAAAACCTTTACCAAAATAGTCAATACTTTTACAAGAATAGTCAATACCACCTACTTGTCATTTTAAAATTCAACATGTATTTTTTTGTCATTTTGTTAAAATAAAAATTGAAAATTTACAAAAGTTTTTAGCAATACATGGAAATGATTTTTCAAGTAGCAATGCAATAATTGTTGGATCTGCGTCAGTTTGGTGATTTGAGTTGAAGATAATATAATCACAATACCTTCAACCAAATATGGTCCCAAAAAAAACCAAAAAGTAAGAGTAAACAACGGGTATACACACACAAATTTTACAGTAATATTATCCAGCTAAATTTTCAAATCTCAAAAAAAACCTAAATGTTTTTTATGATGTCTTCTCCTGATGGATCTTGGAATAGATTTTCTTAGTTCTAATAGCTAGCACTAAGTCCAGCCCAAATCCAATGACACAAACAAGAGCCATAATCACAAACACAAGCATGTAACATTGTGATCCAATACAAGTGTTTCCTCCTCCATTTTGCCTAGCAGCTTCAGCATCATACAAATTCCCAGCAATAAGACTAGAAAATAGGAAAGAACCAAGAGGAAGATTCAGAATCAGAATGTTGTATAATAAACCATAGTACTTCAACCCAAATAATTCTGAAGCTGATGCTGTTGTAATAGTCAAACGAACCCCATAACATATTCCAACTATGATTGATCCTATGTAAATTGATCCTGGTAATGCCATTGCCATTCCCATGAAGCCCACCACCATTAATATTTGTGAACCTGCGTTCCAAAATGGCCTTGCCATGCCTGATTTCTTGATAAAGTACTCTGAGAGTGTGCCAGAAATAATGCGTCCAAAGAATCCCCAGATGCTTATAAATGATATGAATATAGAAACATCAGTGTAACCACTTGCCAATCCAATCTGTCCCATGTTGTTCATCACACACAATCCCGTTCCAACCCCACATAGAAAAGACATAAACAAGAACCAGAAATCAATTGTCTTAACCATTTCAACGACTGTATGTTCCTCTCCTATCATGGGTTGTTGTCGGTTTACTTCAACTTGCTTTTCCACCGTAACACTTCCACTTACAGAACCATCTTGTTTCTCTACTTTATTTTCAGCAAGCAATGGTTCATCAATCTGCTGTTCAGCATCAGAAACAAGGAGGTTTGATTTGAAGATAAATGGACACAAAGGAACAAGAAGTGGCATGGCTAGTAAAATAAGAAGCCCCAAGGTGAAAAGCAATGAAAGAAGACGGCCATGGCGTCCAGTGATGTCATATGCCAAGAGGTAAAAAGCTACTGTGACAGCAATAATGTTGAACAAATTGAAGAATTGGGTTTCTTGCTTGACTTCTGCAGAATTTGAAGCTGGCTGGGTTTCATGAAGGGCAAGAGAAGCAATGAAGCAGATAATAGCTGGAACAATTGTGAGCATGAGGAGAAATGGAGAAGGAGATGAGGAAAAAAGAGCTGTACATGTGTCGGTGAAAATTGCAGTACTGAGACCTACATAGCCCTTAAGAATCCCAGAAACTGGACCTCGATTTTGAGGGAAATTCCTCATACAAGTCACTAGAACAGCTGTGTTCATCCAGGTTGAACTATTCCCTCCCAAACATAACAACACACACATCTGTAACAACAAAATCCCATGATCATTCTTTATCAAAATGAACGAATTAATCATCATTTAAGAAGAAGAACAAGAAGAACAAGAAGAAGAAGATGATGATGATGATGTGAACATAAGTGAGCATGCTTATATATCAGATTCATACATATACTGTATTTTGACATGCTAACATCACAAAATGTAAAATTGTATATGATTTGATATGAAATGAGGGGGAGAAAGGAACTTACAAGCCAATAAGGGAGAGGAGCGATTCTCTGGCTAACAACGAGCCATTGACCTCCATAGCCAATGAACCCCATGAAAGCTCCAATGAGGAGAATGACAGAAGGCGGCCAAAGATCAGAGGCGAGACCAGAGAGAAGACCAAAGGCCTTACCAACGTCTTTAGCAACAGAGAGATTGTTAAGCTCAAGCTGTGTGAGTGCCATTAGACTCTTCAATGCGTGAGAATAATTGGCGAATGTGTAATTGTTTCCACTGATTGCTTGAACCCATATGGCTGTCACAAATCCTAGCCATTTCCCTCCTGATGAAACCATCGTGTTCTGATTCAACAAACTCTGTTTCTTCTCTTCTATTTCGCTCTTATGCGGTAGGGATGGCTATTTGTTCCTATTTAAAGGTTTCCCATTTTGATTCCTAACTTGTTTCTCCTAATAATCAAATAGAAGATAGAGGGATTATCATAATACATGTTTACTACTAAATGGTTGTGTCCATGTATTTTGAGGAGCAAATTTCCTGAAATAAATGGAGACGCATAATTAGGACCTGGTTTTGCTATTACAATGTCCTTAGGCGCAATAATATTTTGGTTTTAATTAATTAAAATTCACAAGTGGGGAGTCAAAGAAGCTAATGTGTCGGAATGGATTATCCCAAAATGAAAATTGGAATTTGAGATTAAAATAAATATAGCTGTGGATATGTTTTAAGGACTAAGGAGAACCATTGTTATCGTATTTTAAAAAAAAAAAAATGCGGCATAACGCCGAACTGTTTTTTCGTCAAAACCAGCTTGCCGAAAAACGGGGCGTGCTCCTTTCCACTTTTCCAGTGTCCGCCGCTGGATTCAATATTGCTCCAGGACAGCATAATTGAGTGCCACCAGTTGAGAGAGACCTTGACCGTTCGGTTCACCTACGGTTCAGGTTCAAAGGGATAACATTTTTCAGGGTAGGTAGTGGAATTATGGAATACTTGGTGATATCAGCCGATGTAATTGCCGATCTGGGCTAAGTTAAATTTCTTTGCTCAACGGCCCTTGCGATTCGGCCCTTCAGGTAGAATTGGTCAGATTGGTTTTGAAATGCCTAGAAGAATAGTCATCACTTAATTGTACTGGGCTTGACCCCTTTTCTTTCACCGGAAAAAAAGAAAAAGAAAATAGAATTGGTCAGATTGGGTTAACCGCTAGACTTCGTAAAAAAACAATGCATGTATCAAACCAATCATCAGTATCAAATACAATTAGGTTCCTAATATAAAATATAAAATCTAATTAACTAATTTAAATAGATTAAAAAATTATTAAATTTTTTTTCTTAACCACCCTACAAAATCATTTGGATTGAAATTATACTTTGAAACAAACTCCTTTACCATGTACAATTAATAAAATTAATGTGGACAAATAATAGAGATAAAATGAATTAAAATTTTATATTTAAAACCAAATTTAACCTCAGCTCTTATATTAAGAATTACTCCCTCTGTTCCTTATTATAAAAGACACTTGATGCTCATGTCATGTTCCTATATATAAGAGACACTTACAAGTTGTCTCTACTTTTTTGTGTTAATTTACTATTTTACCCATATTTATTATCTCCAACTCACACTCTCTCTCCCTTCCACTTCTCTTTCTTTTAATAATTTAATTGTTCTCTCTCATGCTCTCTCTCCTTATTAATGAGGGCATTTTTGAAAAAAAAATTATACTTTTTATACATTAATTGTTTTTAACTAACTTTAACTGTTTTTTTTATCAACGTACTTCGGTTATTTGTTTCTTATAATAAGGAACGGAGGGAGTAGTATATTGTTTCCATGGGTCATGACCAGTCAGTCACGCAACCTTCAAAATTTAATCACTATAATTCAGTCCTCCTCCTAATAATAATAATAATAATAATAATAGGTTTTTCTGTATTTGTTCAGGCATGTAAGCTAATACTGTCTAGCAATTAAAAGATTGTCTCCTATGAGGGAGTCGAGAAAATTAAAGGGCCAATTTTGCAAATTTTGCCACAAAGAGTCCACTAGTTTGAGATGTTGATGGATCGAAACGGTATGTCTTTTGTATCCGACCACCCTTACAAGGCCAACTTCTGGCGGCTTCTATATCCTGCAATTCTGTAAATTGAAAGAAAGTTGCATTAAAAGAAAGTGACACAAGTTACATTCAAAATGAAAACTTCAGACATAGAAATTTATAATAAATTCCGTAAATGTTAACTGAAAACACATATATGCCCTCTCAACTCGTGATGCATATTAACTCAGTTGCTCATACTATCCCATACCAACCTCAAACTTTCACTCGCAAGGCAGATCACGGAGAAAAGGTCTATCAGTCGCAATAGATAATTTTGTAACGAGTGGCCATCACCTTTTCAGCTGTTCTTAGCAAAGAAAAGGTACGAAGGCGTCTGAAAATTTAGATTTTTTATAGGGAATGCACAATAAAACTACCAATCATGCTAGGCATATGGTGGTAGTCCAGATACCTTACATTCACATTGGTGAATGTATATAATGCGGTTGGATAAAGATAAAGTGGAAATAGTATATTAAGTACAATCATGAGATACAGACCATATAATCAAATTCTTCTTTTTCACTCCCAACGCATGCACGTTGGGAATCAAATTTTGTGATCTGGACCACGAGCTTAATAATGGACCAAAAGCAATAGCTGAAGCATTAAAACGAATTCATGTGCAGGAAATAAGTAGAAGCATGGAAATCCTACCAGCAGATATATTTTCCTTTAGAAATTGCTCTATCACATCTTCATTCTGAGCAGTAGTTAAGCTGATCAACAAGAAGAAGCTACTTGTCAGCTACTTGTTAGAACAGGTGAAGATAATAAAAATCATAGTACTTGTGTGCGTGTCTTAAATTTTTAGCCAATAGGAAAAATACCTGCAAGTGCTGTAGACAAGTGATCCTCCAACTTTTAGAAGTCTGAAACCATTGGTTAGAAGACTCAACTGCAGCCAGACACAAACAGATATATAAGGGTAAGAGTAAGCAGTGTATTGCTATGACTGCCTGCGTCTGCATAATTCCAGCAACAGATAGCCATATAAACAACTTCTATTCCTAGTTCACTAATCCCGAGTTGTGGGAGTTTGGGAGCCCATTAGAAGCAATTAAAAAAAAGTGCTTTGACCTAAATTAAGACAGATCTTTTCACATACTCACCTCAAACACCGTAAAATCACTTCCTAAAAGCTAATCCAAACACCTCCATAGACTTGTTTACTTTTACCAATCAGAATCACAAAATCACTAACACGGCGCACATAATGAGATTTGTCACATTTAAAAGTCCAGCCTAGGTATATGAACATATAGACCTAACCTCACACTGCTACTAGAACATACAAAGAGGGAAATAGGAGTGACCAAAAAAGCAGAAAATGGGGATCTATTGGTCCAAAAGAAAACATAGGGGTTTAAAGTTTGATAAAACTGAAAAGGGAGGAGAAAAACAAGGGAGTCGTGATGAATGGGTGGATGTCAGTTGGATATATATTTAAAAAAAAAAAAAACAAAGAAAGAAAAGAAAAGAAAAAGAAGAGCAGCGAAGGGTGGAGAGGGAGAAAAACTTTCAAGTGTGGTTTTGGTTGGCAAATCTGTTGTGTTTCATGATTCTGTATTTTCTGTTAAGTTTGTAGTATTTGGTGTGTGCTCTGTCTCTTTTGTTCTTTGTTATCCTGCGTTAATAATCTGATACTGTGTTAATTTGTTTGCAATTTTTTTTTTATCTGGGGGCATTAGAGATATGGGTTTAGCCTGAATCAATTATGTCCCTTGCAATCTGATTCAGCTATTCAGTAATAGTAGTATCAAGCCCCCAAGTTATTTCCATTTTCTTTCTATCTATTTCTGGTTTTTTTCTGTTGTAATTGGAGTTGAGGGTTCTATCAGAATGCTTCGTAGGACTTATTTAATTCTTTCAGTCAATGCAATGGTTTAAAGCAATATACTACCTAGGTTGCAATCTGTGCTGATTATTTTCCGCCACCCTTTAGAGAATTCATGCATGTGAGGAAAAAAGAGAAAGCAAAATCAGATAAAAAATTGTAGGATAGGTTATGGATAAAAGGAAAAAATTAGTCACTTGCCTGAAGAGCAAACAAGTCATCAGTCCTATCTGCATCTAGAACACGGCGTTCAAGAGTTTTCCAGCCCCAATGTTCAAACTTCTGGATATGTTTGACTGAACCGTCATGGGTGCACTCTGCATCCACAAGGACCTGCATAGAAACCCTAACAGACTATAAGCTTGCCATGTTCGAGCAAATTAGTAGTCAGCATACAATCAAATTAAAATTCTATAAACCTTGTCATAGCCATGGTTCACAATCTTTCTGTCAGATGCATTTTTAAATAGATCTTCTTTCGTAAGTCCAAAAACTCCAGAATGCCGCCCATAATAAATGAGTTCAGGAGGTTGAGACCCAGAGACCAGCGGTGGTTTTCCACTTTTTCGTGCCTTCTTCCTCTCCTTCCATGTTCTTCTAGATGTCCACTCCTTGAATACTTCTGATTTTTCTGCCAATACAGATTCACCTGTTTGATACTAGATATAATGATAAGGTTGACAAGAGTAAGTAAATGATGAGTCATTCGCAGTATTCCTTTCCAAGACCAAGTCTATCAGAACTCAGAATTTTAATTACATGATATATTATCTGAACAGAATCCTGCAGGAATAAGCGAAAATGTTGCTCCATCAGCAACAAAAAGCCGGCATCGATCACCCAGATTATACTTCTGAAGCATTTTTCTACATGCTGCTAAACGATGTCTTGCAACATCTACTCCAGTAACAGATCCTGAATCCCCAAGAAGGTCTAATATCATACAAAGTTTAGCACCTGAAAATCAAATTTGCAAAAGAATTATTAATATTAATGATCCAAGAAAGTGAAAGTTAGTATCGGTAGTAACTCGTAAATTTGCTCTTAACAGTGGGGGGAAAAGTTAAAAGATAGTCGTAAAACCAAAAATAGAATTGAGTCGTCGTATACATATCACATGTAAAATACTGCTCTTCAGATTAAAACCATCTTTATTCTATATCAAGTAGAAGCATCAACACACTAGACAATTTTAGCATAACTGGAGTAATAAAGTTACATACCAGGAGCAGCACATAGGTCAAGAACGTGGTCTCCGGCTGATACATTTAAAGCCGCAACAGCAGCTCCGGAAGATGCATCGATTCCATATATCTTTACCCGACCCAAGAGCAAAGAAAATCAGTATGACACAAGTAAGGCTAAAGTTAGCTCAACCTTCAAATGAGCTGTACAACAATAAGAAAGGGGTTTTCTTTTGTCATAATGCGAAATGAATATAACAGCCGAATTCTTGCTCACGACGCTTTGTAGTGGGCTCACCTTGCCTTCCTGATATGCCTTTGAGTTAGCAATCTGTAAATTGGAATGAAGAGAATAAAACCCTGGCAGCCAGTCTACTCTCTGGAGCTTACAGTTCATCTCTACTTCAAACTCTTCGAGATATGCTTCACAATTAGGTTTCAAACTTTCCCCAACAAAGTACAATGTTAGTCGATGGGCAAAATCAATTCCAAGGATCAAGAATCGTATAAATCAATTCCAAGGATTGAGGGAAGTTGAAGGACCTACCGAATGTATCGCGGAGTAGACTCAAGAGTCGTATAAATTGAAGGGTCAAGCCCATTCGCCCCCAGAAATGCAAGGAAAGCGTCTGGTAATGGGAGTTTTGAAGCCTCTTGTTCCATCAAACAACATCTAAGTTGGAGACTTCGATTTTCGTTGGACGACGTCGAAGCGACGCTAAGGAATGCGTCCAGGATCTGAGAGCGGCGGAGGGGAACAAACCTTGCACGATAAGGCCAGACCGCAAGACATCGATGCGCAAGAGCTGTCGTTTGAGTGTGCCATTTAAAAATAAATAGAAATTAAGAAATCTAAACTAGTTTGGGAAAATGACCCCAGAAAAAAACCCCTAACCGTGAATTTTCACTTCAGAAAGTTAAGGGTTAAAATTGACAGGAAAAAAATAAATCAAAATTAAAATTTTAAAATTTAAGAGAAATAATAAAAATATCCTTGTGTTTTTTTTTTATTTTCAAAACTTCAATCTCTCGCTGGACGCTGCCGCCGCTAACCATTGCTGACACCGCACTAGTTGCCGTCAAGATTTTTTCTCTAGTAGCATTTTTTTTTGTCATGGGAAATTATTTGAGGAAAGTAGTAGGGTCAGATTTGATCCCACCATTAGGCCACCAATGGTTTCTTAATATTATAATACAAAAAATTTATATAAGTTAACTCAGTTATTCTCACTCCAACTCGTGATAACAATTTATCTAAAAATCACAAATCTTAATTGGAAAATGATAAATGTAAACTTGAGATTAAGAAGATATTTTTTCTTGATACACAACATGAAATAACATGTGAATTAATTAAAAATAACAATAATTTATTTGCAAATAATAAGTATCGATTAGAAAATGATAAGTCTAAACTTAATATTAATAAGGTTTCTTTCTTATACATAACGAGGAATAACACATGAATTAATTAAAAATAACAACAATTTATCTATGAATGATAAGTTTTGATTAGAAAATGATAAGTTTAAACTTGAAATTAATAAGTTATTTTTTCTTGATACATAACAAGAAATAACATGTGAATTAATTAAAAATGATATTATTAATTCCAAATCTAAATTTGTAATTTGATAATCAAGATTTATCATTTTCAGATAAACTATTATTATTTTTAATTAATTCATATGTTATTTCACATTATGTATCGAGAAAAAAAAGTTTTATTAATATCAAATTTAGACTTATCATTTTTAGATAAATTATTATTACGAGCTAGAGTCAAAATAAATAAGTTACATGATATTTGTTTTTATTTTAATGCTAAGAAACCATTGGTGGCCCAATGGTCACCAATTGTTTTGATTGGTCTAAATGATCACTAGGTGGTGGGATCAAATCTCATCCCCACCACTTACCTCAAATAATTTTCCGTGACAAAAAAATGCTATAAAAAAATTCCAACGACCACCACTCTGGAGGCTAGTGTTGGTGGTTGGCGGCTTTCCATGAGGGGTTAAAGCTTTTAAAATAAAAAATATAAAAGATTATTTTTGTTATTTTTTTAATTTCAAAATTTTAATTTGGATTTACTTCCCTCATTATTATTTTCAACCCTTCACTTCCTGAATTGGGGTTCACAATTTCAAGTTTCTTTTTTTGTCATTTTCTGAACTATTTTTTCTTTAAAAAAACCATTTTTTATTTTTTAATGGTAAATAAAAGAAAAATATGTAAATCAAATTCCTTATATCTATTATACTAAATTCTTTAGCTGTACATCATCATGTAAGTACTGCTAAACTTAGTAGTTAAGGGGAATCCAGAGATCTTACCAAGTAGGGCTACTTTTAACACTCTCACCACAAGGGCCACGTTAGGATCTCAATCTCAGAAATAAATCCTAATCATCTAAATAAGAAGACTGTTCCAAATGAATCATGATCATACTCTTTTCTATGCCCAAAATTCTCTATGAAAGGCAAGTGCAGGGCATACTTAAATTTCTAAAGACAAAAAAGAATATTAGGGCCTGTTTGATAGGAAGAATTAGTTGGAATAAAAAGAAATGAAAATAAATAATGAAAAATTTCTGAGTGGTGACATGTTTGGTAAGCACTGGAATAAAAAATGGATTGATGAAAAATTTCTATATTTAGTTAGATGAAAATGGGTTAGAAAATTGTATAATTTACCATGTCACCCTTAGTGAAAAAATATAACATTATTAATAAAAATGCTTTTCAACATTGAAGAATAATAATATTATTCAAAAATTCAATAATCGAAAAAGTTAAATTAATAAAAATTATAATAAATTATAATTTAAATAAATATAAATACTCAATATAAGTATAAAATCATCATAGATTTTCATAAAAAAAATACTACAAATATTATTTTTTAAAAAATAAATAACAATAATAAATAGTATAAGTACGAAGATTGTGTTTATTTTTAGTAATTATACTTCAATCCTATATTATCTTGCAGCAACTCCCTCTTTCAAATGCTTATAGTTCTGAATGCCTCCAATGGCTTGTTTTTAATCATTATACTTACCGTTACCTCTATATCAATTTGGATTTTCACTTCCTACTCAAAACTTCTCATTTTCCAAGTCATGTGGTGGATCAAATTCAAATTTTTGAATGGACTTTATTTCACTAGAAACTATATTTAAATAGCCTTTTAGTGATAGGTCATTTGCCCAATTTAAATTCAAATTGATAAAGTTATGTCCAATAAAATCTAAACTGTCATATGACAAGGAAAAAAGTAAGCAAAATTGAATTTGATGCTGAAAATTCAAATTTTCTTGTATCAAATTCAAATCTAGACAAGAAAATTTAAATTTGCTTGCATTGAATTTGAATGTACTTATTTTGTTTTTGTAGCTTAAAACTCGACTATGGATTTATTGATGTAAATAGGAGTTTGTATAAGCAAATTCCAGTTCATGCACGATACATTCCAACTTTTACACAAAATTCGAATTTCATTATGTCTTAATTAGACACTATTACGCTCTGTCTGTTTTGGACACACTAAATACAGCAATTTTCAATTAAACATAACTATCTCAATTTAAATTTAATTTAGGCAAATAAATTATTGATAAGCTCTAGGAGTCTAGTTTTTATTGCAATAAGACCCATTAAAAATGAATTGTAATTTTAAAGTTATGATCAAAATAGTGAGTAAAGGTTAGAAATGTTTTTCTCTAGATTTTGAACCAGATTTGAAAAATCATATATATTTCATATGAGAACATTTTTCACTAAGGTATATGTTGTTGAAAAGCTTATAGGGAGTTAGGTAACACAACATTGAACACCTTGACACTGTTAAAAAGTTTAGTAATGCAATAATCTTCCTTCTCTATAGGTGTAACATCCTGAGTTTTTAAACCTAAGGTTTAACGACTTTTAAGGTTAGATTAGGGTGATTAAGCCATAAATTGTATGGGAATAAAGGTGAATGCTATTGTTTGAGGTTAATTGAGGCATAAAATTATAAAGGATTGAAAGGCATGTCTTCTAGACTTTCCAGAATAGTTGTGGATTTCATATATTTTAAAGAGTCAAACAATAATATTCTTAATGATTCTTTTTGTATTTTATAGTTGACAATTGAAACTTTCCAATGAATCCTAATTTACAAAATTTGAAAATATATAACTAATTGTGAATTTTTCAAAGTTAGGACACCTTGTTACCTATAAGCTTTTAAGCAGTTTTGTAAATCATCTTTTTCAAAGATAAAATGATAATATTTTTGGTTGATTCCTTTTGATTTGGAAAATAGAGGCATAGTTTGTGATTCTCAAAGAACCGTGAAGTTAGTTATGAACTTTCAAAGTTGAACCCTTTTATCTATGTTTTTTGTTAGATATTTACCAGATGTCTATTATAGCGAATAACACAGTATATTGACTGTGTCATTTGCTAAATGTTTCCTAAATGTTTACTATAGTAAATAACATTGCATATTGACCATGTCATTGACTAGACGTTTGCTGTAGCAAACATGTCAAAATCTGGTCTTATAATCAATTTCAAATGTTATTTTAGAAGGTTGGAGGAAGAGAACTTATAGGACTCCATTAGGGTTTGGTTTTTTCAACTTAGGGGAGTATATTTGAGCTTCTAAACATCAAAGTAAATATTCCTAACCTCATTTCTACCCTTTTCTCTTAGATCTTACAAGATTGAAATAGTTGAATCTTAAGGTTTTTCATGATTTTGAATGAGTTAAGGTTTTGACCAATTATTTTGAGTTTAAATGACTTATATAGATTAGTCTAGGCACTTAATCGGTTTAATTTTCTGGACTTGGAGTTTTAAGGAATATGAGCCTAGAGTTTGTAATTTTTGGGAGGTTTATGATAGTTAATAATAATATGATGATTTAAAATGAGTTTTGAGAATTGGGTTAAGTTAATATGAGTTATAATTAATGTTTAATCAATTTAGAATGTGGATTTGAGTTGATTTTTGGATTTGAGTATTTTTTATGATGGACCCTAGATTGAGAAATTGGGGCTTTTAATCAGTTGGCATAATTAGGAGTCAATTGAGAATTCTTATGAGTTGATTTACCTATTGGGTTAATACTTTGAGTTTTAGAATGATAAATTTGAGGTTGAGATGAGAGTTAGGTTAAACTAGGGATTTAAGTCCTAAATCGTTATTGTTAACTACTTAATTAGTTTGTTAACTAACATGTGGTGATTGTGTAGTTGTGTATATTGTTTGTAATGGGTACTATTGTGAACATGATAACTTGATTGTGGTAACTGATAATTGCTTGTGTGAGAGGTAACCACTTTCCACTCATTGTATATAATATCAGAAAAATTAAAATATAAACAAGCAACACGTACCGAGTCAGATCCATGTTCAAGTCTGGGTTATTCCTCTAGAGCTCTATGAGTTGATCTACTGGCTCACTTAGAGTTTAGACTACTAGACTCTAAACTTGAATGGCACAGCAGAGTACCATACAAGAGAGAGTAATAGAGAGAGAGAGAGAGAGGAGAGAATAGGAAAAGTTAATGACTAGGGTGAGTTGAACTAATGGATAGAGGCCTCTATTTATAGATTTAGCAGCGGGTATTTTAGGAAGGCAAAATATTTATTAAGTTCATCGATTTGAATTTGAATTCAAATATTTAAATATCTCTTAATTGATAAGATTATGGATTTGAATTTAAATGCAAAATCAACCTTAATTAATTCTAAATATATATCTAATATATATATTTAATCTGTACCGTATAAATTAACTTA